ACTGCTTATAAAACCTACATGAAACACTTCACTTGTAGACAGCTACAGACCTGTCTCCTTCCTTCCATTTATAGTGAAAACACTTGAGTTGTTTTCAACCAGGTATCATTATTTCTTTCACAGAATTACCAACTGGGCGTTAACCAGTCAGGTTTCAGAAGTGTCCACTCAACTGAGACTGCATCACTATCAGTCACTGAATTGTGAAAGCTGGATCTATCATTCTGCTGGATATATCTGCCTCTTTTAACACTGTGATTCATCAGGTCCTCCTGTCCACCCTTTCATCACTGACATAACAGGAATTCCACTTTGCTGGTTTGAATCCTATCTCACAGGACTTTCAGGGTGGCCTGGGTGAGGGAGGTATCCAAAGTACATTGACTGTTCACTGGGGTTCCTCAGGGATCAGTTACTGGACCTCTCCTCTTCTCCATATACACTACATCACTGGGTCCCATCATACAGGCACATGGTTTCTCCAACCATTGCAAAGCTGATGACACATAGCTCTATCTTTCATTTCAACCAGATGATCCAACGGTAGCTGCACGGGTCTCATTCTGCCTGGTGGACATCTTGGCATGGATGAATGAACATCACCTACAGCTCAATCTGGCAAAGACTGAACTTCTCGTCTTCCCTGCCTCTCCGACTCTACAGCATGATTTCACCATCTAGCTAGGTTAATCAACAATTACCCCATCAAGTTCGGTCAGAAATCTTGGTGTAATCTTTGATGACCAGCTGACTTTCGAAGACCACATTGTAAAAAACACTCAATCTTGCAGGTTTGCAGTGTACAACATCAGAAAGATCAGGCCCTTCCTAACGGAGCATGCTGCACAACTTCTTGTCCAGGCCCTTGTCAGTTCTAGGCTGGACTACTGCAATGCTCTTCTGGCTGGACTTCCATCATGCGCAATCAAACCTCTTCAAATGATTCAGAATGCAGTAGCACGACTGATCTTCAACGAGCCCAAAAGGACCCACCTCACACCTCTCTTTATCTCCCTGCACTGGCTACAGGTTGTGGCTCGCATCAAGTTCAAGGCATTGATGCTTGCATATAGAACAGCCACAGGCTCAGCACCCTCCTACTTCCACTCACTCTTACGAATCTACATCCCCTCCAGAATCCTGGTGGAATGATCTTCTCACCCCCATTTTTGCCAAAGACTACGTCCGGATGGGATTCAAAATGATGGAGTAGATCACTTTAATCAACACCCCCAAAGCTTCACAGTCCAAACCTCTTCCTGGATCGTCATTTAATTCGGTAAGGTTAGGCAGTTTTGATTTATATGCGGTTTAATGTTTGACAATTTTACATATGCATCTGCTTACACATAGAATAATTTGTTTCTGCTGCTTCTTTGCCTGTTTTGATCCACACATTCATTACTCTTTCAGAAGATGCGTAATAGCGCCTCCTACCGTATAACAGTGAAAGCACAGAAAGCCGGAAAAATCCCTAGTATCCCCTCACTGCAGAACACAAGATCCAGGGGGTGTGGTTGGATCCACATCTAGGAGGTGGAGATTGGTAGGTTTAGGGGTGTAGATGGGTGGGTTTAGGCATCAGGGGGTGGAGACGGGTATGTTTAAGTATATGTAAGGTTGGAGGAGTTTGATCTGGATCCAACCACGCCCCCTGGATCTTGTGTTCTACAGTGAGGACCATCTCAAAAATCCATCAGTGGCGGGAAAAAAGTTAAAGTAGACAAAATAGGTCACCATTTGCAAATGGTTTTGATAAAGCGAGATATATAATAAGCCCGGGATTGTCACATGTAGTTGCCGCAAGCCTCCTTTGTCGAATCCGCCACCTCTGCTCACTCTAGCCGCCGTGTGTGACGCTGTGTTTCGTTGTGAAAGCGAAACTACTTTGTTTGGCCTTCCAAAAATGGACACAACTAGAAATCAGTGGTTAAGTTGTATTTACAACACTGTTCCAGAACACTTCAACCCAAATATTCAGATGTGTGCAGCACATTTTATGGAGGACCGTTTCCTGATCCTGGGAGAGTAGACTACAATGCCGGCTGTTCTGACTCAAAGACTGTAAGTAAGTTTTTTATATTTAAAGAGTTTTTATATTTTATATATTTAAAGCGAGTTTTTTGGGCAGTGTAGTGTAGGACTTGTTGTTTGTCATTTCTCCGATCACAAATGCAGACATGGTTTTATGTTTACGCGGCGCGATGCAACGCAACACTTAAAAAGACAGTATAAGTCATTATAATCCAGAATTATGTCCCCACTGGATGCAACGAATGCCTCGTTTATAATTGGTTTTCATGTTTTTGAATCATTGCTCTGGCCTGACAGGGCATCATCACAGTATGGTAAGGGGCGTAACATTTCTGGAAAGCTGGCCAATCACAGCACACCTTGCTTTTCAGACCGATGAGCTTTGTAAAAATCGACGCGTTTCAGAAAGGCAGGGCATAGAGGAGAAACAATAATGCACAGTATGTGGAAAATAATGTGTTTTTTAACCTTAAACCGCATAAACACATTTCATTACACCAAATACACAAAATAATGTTCTTTTTAGCAGCATCCTATGACATAAACATTAAAAATAAATAAAGTAATTAATATAAACAAACAAACAAATAAAAAATGGAATGCAATTATTCAAATGGTTCAAACTAATAAACTGTGTTTTGGAGCCACATTGGATGTTTCATGGTGGTCTTTAGCCTCAACAACAAGCTTTATTCATGCAAACTTACTGAAAAACACAACATGCAACACAAACTAAACGCAATAGATTTATTGTGCTGCCACTGCATTTTCACTCTTATATAGTAAGTAAATCATAAATCAGCATCAGTAAACAGGTTCAGTGGACAGGAGTGAATTCCTGCCTGTTGCTCGTGTCCTTGACCAGACCCTCTGAGGGTCATATGGAAATGTAGGGCCTGCACACAGACACTTTCCCTTTGTTGAAAGTGTTGTTTGCTGATGACATGGAAACAAGTGGCACCACGCTGGAAGCCGCATTCAGACAGACAGACAGCACTTCCTGTGATTGACTGTGTGGACGGTATACGTGCAGAATGAGCTTCATGTTGTTTGTTCATGTACATCAGAAGCCACTTTGAAGAGTAAAGGCCACACAAACTCACTTTTTTGTCTGTAAAGCCACCACTTGATTGTCCATCATTTCAAATACCGAAAACAAATACTGAGAACAGTTCCTTGCTTATTTGTATGAATTGAATTGTATTGAATGTGAAAGTTCATCAAAAAATACGAAGAGTCACAATTATCAAAGTTCAGTCAGACACATATTTATTTGTCAAATATGCAACAACACAACACATAAGATCTTCATAATGAATTGTTTTCCTATGAGCCATTCACCACTGATGCAAAATAGAACTACAGGTGTTCTCTATATATATATAAATGTATATACATTTTTTATATATATATATATATATATATATATATATATATATATATATATATATATATATATATATATATATATATATATA